TATTTGATTTTATTTACAAATTAGAAACGAAACTTTTCTATTTTTATGTATTTGGCATTGCAATTCAGAATCGAGTATAGAAATTAATGTATTGTATTTTAAAAATTTCAAAGCATTTTTTAATTTATTGTTATATTTTGTTACATGAGGTCATTACAAGACAAAAGTTTAGAGATTATGATACATTATAAATGCTAATTTGTTAGATTCATTATTATAAAATTTATATAGATTAAAAATATGAATATGTTAAATTGATAAAATATTATAATTAATGGATCTGCATAAATGAATTAGAATAAAATCAGAGAAATGCTATTTTTAGAAATTTAATAAACTATTTAATAATCTCGCCATAAGTTGATTATACAATTATTTCATGTAAACTAAATCTGAATAAAATGAATGTTTTCTATAGATACTGTAAATTTTAGAACAATTGCTAGTAATTGGCACTAAATGATATAAACAATATAAATATGATGAAAATGGCAACTAATTGGACGTAGTATTTAAAAATAATAGAATGTTAACAATAGTGTCAATAATTATTGTTAACATATTAAGTGCAATTTTTTTTTAAATAAAATTGATTTGAAAGTATCTGTGTCTTGATTGTAATTATTTTTTTTATTTAGAAATATTATATGTGTTCATGAATATTTCTTAAACATTTTTATAAATTTTAAAAGTCAATTAATTTTAATATGAAATTATATATATATATATATATATATATATATATATATATATGTGTGTGTGTGTGTATTTAAGGTTATTATTAATGGTAAATATAAATAACTTATGTATTTTTACAGTTTTACAAATAATATTTATTATTTCTATTGAATAGATGGAAATATTTTATGCTTGGGACGTGAAAGGACATTATTTCGTCTGTGGGTAAGTTAGTCATAAATTTGTATTAAATCTATAGCAGAATATAGCCTGATGACCTCTTGGGTTTTTTTTCCACATTTTTTTTATTTATTTATTTTTTTTTTTTATTTCAAATTAATGCTTTTATGACGCTTTTCATAAATATAAAGCACCATATATCGATACATTAGTACACATATCTGTCTTTTATGGTTATCTGATTCTGTGGAACTTATACGAAAATATGAAAGATTCATTTATATTTGGAATGAAATACTAATTCATTGTTATTATTAAAATTCAGAGAGTATTTTATGTATGTCGAAGTGAGTTTCCAGTAAACAGCAGAAGGGTTGCTCCATAAAAGTAATAATGCATGACACTGTTAATGTGCTATTTCGCTTCAAGTTTTCAAATTAAAAACAACAGTGGATGATTGTGATTTATTAAATTTACAAGATGACATTTACTTTACTGAATTTCGTATACGAATTAAGTATGATTTAAAATATAAAGCTGCATAAACTCAAATGAAAAGCCAATTTACATATGTAGATGTATATAAATTATTTATATATATATTTTTTTTAAATATATTCAAAAAATAGTTATGAAAAATTATTTATCTGTATTGAATACTTAATTAAAAAAAAAAAAAAAAAAAAAAAAAAAAAAAAAAAAACAATAATATCATTCAAAGAATTAAATATCCATTTACTTCTAAGTATATTATTACTCTTATCTATTTTCATTCGTTTAAAAGATTTTTTACATTTGAAATTATAATTTGTGCAAGAATTTGAAATTTTTCGTTTTAATAAAAATGTACTTAAAGTTGGTAATAATATAAATTATATAGGGACATTAGAGAGTAATACGATTAAGTTTTATTCATTATAATTTTACAAATTTTTAATTTTATTCATAAGAAATATAAATATAAATACATTCTTATCATTGAAATGCAAATAATAAAGTGGTTTTGATTTTTTAACTGCAACTGAACTAAAAATAGAATAAGCTATATAATAAAAATATGAAATGTGCATATTAAATAGAAATTTCATAAAAATTTGTAAAATTATACATTCTATAGCTGAAAAGGCCCAATAAGTTTCACTTAAACTGTCCTATAATTTGCCTTTAAAATATACTGAGTAATACCAAGCTGCATTACATTGATGTTATAAAATCCTTATATTATATTAATACACATAATGTAACCAATATGTTTCAATTGTACTTAATTATGTGTTAAAAATTTATTGTTATTTACATGAATGTTGCATTATCAAGGTAAGTAACTATACCTTATATATATATATATATATATATATATATATATATATATATATAAGTAAGAATACGAACTAATGTTCCTCATACTTTAATTAAAATATCACTCTAGTATACAATGACTTAATCAGTCAACGGGTACGTCAGGTGTGTTTTGTTACCAGAAATATCAGCCATTTAGGTAAATGACAACTAACGTACATGTTTATGTAATTCTAATTTTTACTTTAATAATAATTTAATATTTTTCATCCTATTTAGGAAAAAAGTAATTTTCTTATAAGATGGGCTATATGAAATACTCCACTCACAAATTAAGCGAATCAACGAAAAATAAATGAGTGCATTGATGTATTTTATTTTATTTAACAAATATTGTCTTGACAAAAAAAAAAAAAAAAAAAAAACAACAACAACAACAACAACAACAAAACTCAAATTATTTTATTTGATAGAATTACAAAATCACGTTTCATAAAATTATTATTTTATTCCGATCAAGTTGTAATACCACGTTTATTATTTTCCAATGTACAAACACGCAGTCTTCCTTTGATTATAATAAATAAAGAGCCGGAACAAAAATATTATGTTATATTAATATTAAGAGAAATACGTCCTGTCACGTACATCGGCTTTATATCAATTCCATACTCACGGTGAATTTGGATTTTCGGATAACTGCAGCAGCGTCGACTGCGTCACACTATCAATATTTACCATATACGTACTGCCATAGAGAATAAAGGTTTGCCTTGTACATCGGAGGCGTGAAAGGCCAATATATCAATATCATGCGCCTTTTCTATCCACTACCCTTGTGTTACTTCATGAATGCCCGCATACGTGCATGCGAGTCTATGTGCGAAATCAATTATCTGGTTAACTGGCAAAAGTTCTGCCAATGGTCAAATAAATTTTTTCGTTAATTTGACGCCACGTGCGAGGGGGAGGGGGGGGAATGGTTGATGAAATTAATCGGTCAATTTGGTTGAGAGCCTTTGGCTTTATACGACTAAATGTCCACCAACGCACCATCCTATCTCTAAATATCCGCCCGTGTATCCGCCTCGCCATATATGTGTGAGCTCGCGCGCGCGCGCGTCTGGTGTGTATTGACGCGCATAAATAACAAGGATAATAATAAGTACGAAGGGTGTGGAGTATTAATTATCCAAGAGTCTCGATTCTTCGGCCGTTCGCATTAATGAGTTTTGTTCAAGTAGCTCGATATATATATATATATATAAGTCCACTGCACAGATGTAGGAACGGCAATGCTTTAAAGCTTGACGTCACTCTAACCAAGCTGTCTCTTCAAGTTGCAGGCTGCACTCTAGTTGGAAAGTAACGACCTATTAAAACTTATCCCGCCTCTTTCACTGCAACTTAGCCACTTTCGATATGCCTGAATACTCTTATTCTAAAATCCTCATTTTTATTCTCTTAATCTCTTTTTAATGGATACTATTCTACTCGAATTGACTTTGGCCGATTTTACCTCGTACGCAAGGTAATTTACGATGATATCACCGCTATACCACTATACCACTATACTACTATATCTATACTTTCTTCCATTGGATTTTTATGATTTATGGTGTTGTTTGAAAATATAAATAATGGAAGAATCTCAAAACTTTTTAATTTATCAATTCATATGTCAATTTAAAGTGGGGAGGAGGAGGAGGAGGAGGAGGACGAGGAGGGGCGGGCGGATGAAAAGAAGAGAGAGATAATAAAGTCTTGTGTATTTTTATACTTTTTGAATTCAATCTTCCATTTGAAAAGTTTGTTTCTTAACTTTATATTATTAACATAAAGCTAGGAAAATTTAAACCCATATTTAAAACATCATTTTTTCAACTTTTAATTTTAATATAAAGATACGGGACTAAGTACATTTTTCTTCCAATAAGCAATAAATAAGTAACAAACTATGCTTTTCAATTATCCGAATTTATTAAATATATATGTCAGAAAAGTAAACATCGATAAATAAAAAAAAAGAAAAAAAGAGAGAGATATTTTACATAATCTTTATCAAACATATAAAAATGTTATTGGATACTATACAAACATTATTAGAGTCGTAATTCAATTATTATAAATATCGCAATTTTATGAAAAATGATGACAGAAACTAGAAAGCTAAAATAGTTGCATTTTCAACGTAGATCGAAGTATATAAAACTTCAACCAAATATTACAAATTACACACAAAAAATTTAATTCTATTATTATTCACATAAGTCATTCGTTATTGGCTCTTTTTTTTCTTTTTTTTTTGCCATTTTCTGTTTATGGATCTAAAAGAGGAGCGAGGGATTCAATATAATTGTAAGATTTAATCTTTTTTCAAACATAATCGTTTAAATCATATTAAACGATGGTAGATTGAGGTATGCTGTAGAACAAATAAATAAATTTTCAATTATTCATTATAATATCAATTTCATTATTTAATAATAGTAAATGTTTAACCTCGTTAACTATAAATATTGACGAATTTCACATAGAATTTTTACTTTATCGATAAATTACATATATATTAATAGAGATTATTCGTATAAAATTGAAAATATTGCCCAATTATTTGCTCGCTTATGTTGTTTGGTTATTTTATTTTATTTCAAGTTCCTGTGACATTTAAAATATTGTAAGATGAATGTACATTTTAATACTAGATGTTTATTATTGTTCGTAATTATGATTTCTACAGTATAATACTGCATTTAAACATGTATACCCATAAAATTCTAATCCCATATTGTTTATATAATTCGACAACATAAATAATTATAAATAAACTGCTAATAACTTACTTGATAAAAAGAGATCTTGGAGGGCCTGGGCAGCCTGGCATAAAAGAGCCCAAGTTTCTGGTGCTGCTAGTCCTGTTCCCCTTAGTGCAAGGACATCGCCCGCAACGACCCCTAAACCGGCGCCGCCAACGGTCTTCATTGGCATTCTGCAAGTATTTGAAATCCACCATTATAGATAAATGTTTTAATGGGAGATATATGGGATGAGATTCAGAATGAGCAATATTCATCATAAGATTACAGCATTTCTGGATTACCGAGTAATAATCCGTTGTTTCGTATTACTTTCCATGCTATTATACACGAGCGAGACAATAATTTAATAGAAATTTCGTATTTATTGAAAGACGTGGTTGAAAAATATCTAGGGTTTCGGATGATTTAGTCGGTTGAAATGAAAATTTAATTTTGTCGATAATGCTAGGTTATTACGAATAAAGTCAAATTTATTACGTAAATGTGTTGTTATAATCTATCTACTTGCAATTATCGAATTATTAAATTTAATTACAAATCACCTGCCAACAATGAATATGTAGATTTTATCCGTTTATTTATTATAAAGACTTTTATTCGATATTGTAATTTATTCTTATTTTTTGTACGACGCCTGTTGAGATATTTAACGCCAAAACAAGCTTAAACGGACAAGCAAGCAAACAGACAAACATACAAACATACAAAGAAACATACAAACAAACAAAAAAACAATACAAAACAAAATGTAGCTCTTTAAAATAATTTTATTCTCTTTCATTATAATAATAAAAAAAATCAAAAAAAAAAATCAAAAAAAAAAAATCACTCCTGCACCTTCATCCTCGTCGTGCATAATTATTGCATTCGATGCTAATGAAACAGGTAAAATGTTATGAGTTGGGTAGCCTCTCCTCCACAGTGTGGTTGCGCGCGCGCGCCCAATATGCATGCAATGTACACATTTCGTAAATGGAATGCAAGTGAACCGCATGCGTGCATGTGAAAAGCAGCGAATGTAGCAGCATGACACTCGCGAAAAGGAAACAATTCTAATTAAAGAGATATCGACACTCCGCTGGGGTAGAGGCAATGCGGACATAAAGACGCCGAAACAAAAAAAGCCGAGCAGCAGCTCCATAGTCTCGACGTCTGCCATGCGATGCGTTGAATATCATCGTCGCGCAGGAGACAGAAGAGCTAGGAGCATCGGCTCCACGGAACAATAAAGCTTTAGCCGTAGCAGTACAATAGACGTCAAGCCGCGCCCTCAACCCCCTCACCCCGTTCAAACCATCACTATCGCTCTCTATTTCTCTCTCTCTCCGTCTCTCTCTCCGTCTCTCTCTCCGTCTCTCCACGATGTCTGTCCGCGCCACGTGTCGAAATATACCTGTCTGTTATTTTCTCTGCATGCGTGTGCGTTGATAAATAGCGCGACGGGCGTAACACGTAAGGCCAAGTCATCTTTTATGATATTTTTATCTTGGGATTTCGTATGGAGATTCCCAACTACATTCGCATAGATGCGACCGCCATTTTTTTTTTTTTTTTTTTTTTTTTTTTTTTTTATTTTATTTAATCAATTCTCGACGTAGTCGAAAGCCTCATCTTAATATACAGAGGTTAGCGATCTAAATTATATCTTAAATGTTGAATTTGGATTTGATGAGAACGTTTTCTTGGCACTGTGCCGTCACTTCAAGCCAATGCATACATTAGCCATATCGTATACTCTTTGCTAATTCTACTAATTCTAATATTCAATTGCTAATTTTTCATAGTTTCGCATTGAAACTTTATTTCAATTAGTTTACATTATTTTCAGGCATAGGACGCTCTCTACTACTGACTAAATTTCGAATTATTAATGCGGCACATGGCAATTCGAATAGCATTATTTATCTCATAATATTATGTCTCGAAATAGCATTATAACACTCAATTTTACATAAGCTTCCTATTTACCTAATATTATCCAAGGTTTAATTATTACTTAATTAGTTATGCGTCTGTCTGGTTGTTATGATTATTAAACATCCAGTTGAGAAATAGAGCCGTTATGATTTGCATCGTTAAAGGTATAAAAGTATTTCAAATATTTTTATCATGCCACGACTATTTATTAAATAAATACTTTAGTTTCGTCCAACAAATGTTATTTAATAAATAGTATGGTAAATAATAATGGTCATACGGCTAATTCTTACATACCCCCCCCCCCCACACACACATTTATATATTTTACGTCACTTTACTATAAATAAATCCATTATTTTAATGGTACTGTAAATAAATGATATTTTATCATTGAGATTAACGAATGTAAATGCATTATGAGAGTATTTTGTTCGCGCAATTTATAGCGTAACGAGATTAATTCACGAGCATTTAACAATAATGAAATGAGTTTAATGCATAAGACATTAGTGGACTTAACCGATGCTTGATAATAACATATTTCATTTAACTATCAATTCGCTCTGTCTAGTGAGGATTCTGATACAATTATTGCGTAACTACTTTGAAATTTAATGTCATTTTCAGGATTAATCCCATCAAATTTAAAGATTTAACCAGCTCCCGTGTAATCTCACGAACATATAGATTTAACTTTGTTAAAATCTTTTCCACGCGTAATACTTGCATTGCACTAATACCTTTTATTCAATTTCTAATGCATAAAACTTGCTGTATCGAATTATTTTTAAACACTGTTTATCTTGCACATGCAACTTACAACGCGTGACATTAAAAATTACAACAAATATCATATTATGCGCTAATAAAATATTTTGCCTTGTATTGCATAATCTAAAGCATATCGATAATTTGCAATAGTTTCCGTCCTATTTTACCATAATTCCACATGTTTACCGTAACCAATGAAACGAAATCTTTTCAGCTTACATGGAAATAATAGCTTGACCAGCAAAATCAAAACTTCATTCCTCGAGTTCGAGCATCTACCACATCACGAATATTCGCATAACCTCGATTTCAACTCTAATTAAACAATCATGAAATAATATCGCATATTATATTTATCTCATTCGCGGATAATCGACCGTCGGCATTGCCGTCGTTCATTGAATAACCACGGCAATGACAAGCTTAATTCACGAATTTGACGATGTTTTTTTCTTCTTTTTGTTCCCCAAGTTCCGTTTGCTTCTATTGGAAATTCTATTGGAAAATTTTCAATTATTACGAATTACCGGTAAATATTTATTTATATGAATTATGTTATTATTAAGCACAAATCTGTTTCAGTTCTAAATTTTATTCCCCTTTACTCATTAGTATCTATTTTGTAGAGATTGTATATATTCTGTCACAACCTGCTGTCAAAATTGTAAGCCTCGTTGCAAGACGAATCCACACGAGTATTACTATTGTCGATTACTCGTAATCGATGCTTTTGTTAGGCGTCTAATATATAATTAAGATAGAATATAAAAATAGGAAATATTGATACAATTTATACTTTAGCAAATATATGACAATGAAATTTTTTTCAATTTCTATAATTTCTACTCATATATATTTTACCTTATTTCGTTAGGTCGAAAGCTTTCTTAATTAATGTTGAACGATTAGTGTCTAGCCAGAAGATGATTTTATTACTTAACTTTACAATTATATAGAAATGTAGAGTAACTGAAATTATTCAGCCTTGTAAATCGTACATTCGTTTCCATAAAAATAACTCAAACGGATATCAATACTTAATTCATTCGTATACAATGATTTTGATAATATAAAGTAATCAAATTGTCGTTGTACCCGTTTTGCTCAATTTCTATATACAATGGCATTGTAAAGCGTAAATTATGCAGAGATCTGAAAATGACAGAAATTTGGACAAAGTAGCAATCTCGCATAGGCAGGAGGGTAATATGGAGCAAGAAAGAAAGAAAAAAGAAAGAAAAGTAGATAAAATTTTTGTCTTCGAAACATCTCTATAGCTCCGTAATATCTGTTCACGGGACTCGGTTTCGATAAGTCAAACTTCATCGAAAACTTTTGCAAGTAAGTTCGCCTGTTTCTGTCCAACAACTTGCAGCTGATACGGAAGAAAGAATCTCTGCGTGACGCTGTCTCGAAGTTGACTTCTTATATTTCAGAAAAGATCTAGAGAGACAAGTTGATAATGCTGTGAGTTCGACATCAATGTACAGCTGAAGGATGGAGTATAGCGACACAAAGTTCTTTTCATGCTTTGAATCACACTGTCCGTGCATATTAAATAAACTTGAATTCATGACCTAATAATACCCGAAAATTCTTATACAGACTTTCATTAACGATACTATTATAAACTGAAAATTATTCATTGTCAGAGTATATTCATATTTTATTATACTTGGCATTATTTAATAAAGCGAATTCTTTGATAATCTGTTATTTTCCCAATGTACATACTTAGCGCACAGCTTTCTTAATTAACTCAATTTAATGGTCCGCATATTAAAAGACAAACAGCGCATATGTTGTGCATTATATATAGAGTAAATATGTGGGAAAAACTTGCCTTATAAAAAAAAAAAAATTATGTATTTAGATTGAAAAACTTTATCTGCAAGCTGTAGAATATTTTTTTTTTTTTATACACTTTATAATTCAAGATTAGACTCTATTTTATTTAATACAGAAATATTAATAACAAATAGTATGATTTACTAAGGTATGTCAAATTATGATGAAATTATGTGAAACTAAATTAATTTTCTCAAATCACAGTTTAAGAGAAAAAACTTACATGTATTATGATGTATGATAAATTGTTACTTACACATACTTTCCTTTCGAATAAAACATAATAATGTAATAAATGAAAAGTGGTTTGTAGTATTAAGGAATGATATAATTTCCCAAAAATTCTAAATAATTCTAAAAAATTCCTATTTTAAATTATTCCCTGTAAATTGTCACTTGTTGATGTAATTAAATTTTGCAAAACTCAAATGAAACTAACAAGAAGATATATAAATAACAAAAAATTTCTTTAAATAAATTCAAAATACGAACTCTTGTTTTTTTGTTGGAGCAACGATTACTTGATCGATTATTTATTAAAACATATTGAACATATTGAAATAATATAATAATACAATATATGCAGTATAAAACAAAAACGAAAAAATTAAAATGTCATATTATCTTTTATCTTATCATATATATATATATATATAATTATTTGTATTTATATTAGAATCAATATCAATTAAGCATATTGATAGGAGCACTTTGTTTGTCGATATTTTACTTATATTTGTAAAAAAAAAAGTAGGGAAAAATATATTTTTAATTTATTCCAGAATAATATACGATATCGTAATAAGACCACTACCTCGTGTTTGTTACATCAATTAAAAAAAAAATTCGGCGAATGAAGTTTAGTAATTACGCAACAAGTTTTAGAATCGTAATGAAATCTCATCACCAATTGCATTACTGTTTATTCCATTATCAGAAAAATCCGGCAAAATATTGAAATACAGAATGCGCTTATTGATGTGGCAACGGTGCGCATTTCTTTGAATACTTTTGAATTCCGAACACTCTTTGCCTTCCTATCCTCGCGCTTCGAGATAAACGTTATTACAATTTGCACCAGCTACGTGCGAACGTGCGAACCACCCCCGAATCCAATCGATACATACCTGCGACGTATTCGCGCATTGTTAAGTCTCACATTTGGCTTCACTCGCATGCAAAGAGGTCTAACACTGCTCATCACTTTAACAACGATGCATTCAAACAAAGCTCTGTAGTATTTGCCACGCACACCGAATGCGCTTGGCTTATTCAATAATTCAAAAGTGGATCAAGCGCGCCTGGAAACTTGGACACTAGGCGATGAAAATTCAACTGCCATGGATAGGCGACAGAAGCGTCAATCTTCAATTTTATCGAGAATAGGCAAATTTCAGAATAATCTCGTGGAATTACTGACTCTCGAGTACTCCCTAGATTTTTAAGGACCGAAACTTCCTTCGATCATGATCATTAAAAAATTTGCCTCTCCCCTCCCCCTCCCACCATTCATAAGATTACTTTGATCATTAATTTTAGTTGCAAATTGACAGGATGCAATTGCTTATGCTGTAATACATTACATAGTGAAAAGTGTAAACAAAATTGATGTATTGATATAGATGATATAGAAGATGCCTTATGAATTTGATCTATATTATTGCTATTTATATGTTCTATATGAAAATATAATGTAAATACTTGTAATGCAAATAGTATTCGTGTTACATAAGAAAGGCGTCGACTAAATGAACGGAAAATTTTCAACGACATCGCTATTCGAAAGAATTGTATGAATTTTGAACTTCGTTACAATGACTATTCGTAAAAAGAAATAATTTTGATAAATTATACATACCTTAAATGATTAAGTCAAACTATAAATTTTATTTATATTGTTAAAGTAAACTTTTTTTTTTTTTTTTTTTTTTTCCATGACGAAATATATTTCTCATAACAATGTATTTTACAACAGGTGTGGAAGCAATTTTTATATAAATAATATAAAAAAATGTAATTAAATGCATTAGAATTTTTCTATAAATATGCAAAATTTCGTATTAAAAATTTTTACTTTACACGAAAGATGATAGTACACTTTACCTTAAAAGCATAATTTGAAAATTATTTAATTACATACATTTTTTAAGTATGTAATAGATACACAGTAACGCTTTATTATAATCTAATGGACTATGTATTTTAAATGCAGCTGTATATTAATAAAATTTATTAAAACTATCATATAGAGAATGGGCGGCGATGAAAAAGGAAAAAAATCAAACTGAAAACGAAAGTAAACGAAAGTAAAGTAGAGCAACAAAAAAACAATATTTTGTAAGGCTGAAGAAAAATTAAAGTTTTGATAAAATTTTATTGCCTTTTTATTTATTTTTATTTACTAATTTATTTTTAATATTATTATATAATATTATTATAATATTTTTAGTATTAATTTGAATTAAACAATAAATACAATAAGTCTACTTGTTATAAATTATGAAAATATAACAAAATCTTCCCAGATTTTCTATCAGCTCTTATGGTTTGAAAGTAAAAAAAAACAATATAATATTTAAAATTTCACATATCTCATATATATTTTTCACAACTTCGTATTATGTGTGGTTAAAAATTGTTCAATATTATAAAATTGTGTATAAATTTCGTTTTGCACATATGATAAAAATACGTTTCACATTTTAAACAAACGGGATGTAGATTATTAGCAAGCCTTTATCTTCTATTAAAAACTATAATATGTCTATTGTTCAACGTAACAATGTAAATAATGACATAATAATTGAAATGCACCTTAAATTATAAAAACTATACTACACTTCTACTATAATGTTACGAGACAAAAAGCTTCGTTACGTGTGCGTGTGTGCATATGTGGATGCGTATGCATATATCGAACATGCATTACGAGGACAACATAATTTACATTATCCGGGGATAGAGTGCAGACACGGAGTTACACGACCTCTCCTCTGTTCTCGTAGATTTCCATTTTAGAAAGCATTCCAGATGTATATTTGCACATCCGTCACATAACAACATATACCCGCGAAAATAAATCTTAATCCAATGCAACTATAATGTCTTAGAAAATATAATTTCTGAGTGAAATGCTACGTGAAAGAAAAAGAAAAAGAAAAAGAAAAAGAAAAAACAAAAACAAAAACAGAGAAACACCAAAAAAAAAAAAAAAAAATAAATAAATAAATAAAAACTGATGCGCAAACAAATCTTTGTGCGTTAATACTTAGTAAGGATAAAAATAAGGAAAAAATTTATTTAATAATTATACTTAATAATAAATCGATGTATTGAAATGTATTTAAACAATTTTTACGGCTTTACAATTTATAAGATTAACGATAATACAATGATAAGAAAATATATTATTTATAATGCAAATTGAGCTATTACGTACAATTAATAACAATTTTCATATCCATTAATTCATTCATTTATTCATATCGCACAATTATTATTAGAATTATGCTTATTATAAATATAATTTATATTTAAATATAGTGCACATATAAGGCAAGTTATATTAATTGATTTATACATAAGCTCACATACAAATAAAAATAACATACTCCTATCAAACATGATTACAATATTAATAAAAACCTATTAACGGCTGTAGTAATTATCTAATAATTACGTTACAATTGATATAAAAGCCATTAAACCGATATAGAAAGAAATTTTTTCTACTTTCATTTGAATAGACTTCAATAACGGATTTAAGTAAATAAATAAAATAATATCGCGTTATATATTGTCAAAATTCGTGCTCTCAATTACATCTATAAGAATTACATGCTATAGAAGAAGTTTTAATGCCGAGAGCCAGTGGTACATATAAATTAAATGCTCCTTTAATTATATGTCATGTTAATTAATTTATGATTTAAATGTACATAACACGTGCAGATATATGGTGCAATAGCCCACCTTAAACATCATCGATGGGTGCTTTAGCTCTTGGGGATGGATTAACTTTAATGACCTCGTGAGAGGCGATTGCACGTAGCCGGGATCCGGGGATATAATAAGCCAGGCAAGAGACACCAACGAGGAAAAGAAAGAACAGGAAAACCAAGTCGAACATCAAAAGTGAGTTCAAGGTCAGTAGCTGCATCGTGCAGCCTCCTTCACCATATCATGCCACGACGACTTTACTAATCTATGAATCCTCTTCTGTGTATATTCTTGGTCTTAGGATCAGCCAGTAAATCTTGAACTACACCATTTGCAATTGATTATAACGATGTTTTTAGATTTTTGGCATTACAAAACACTAACATACACTGCTCCTCACTTTTATTTTACGTCACTGATAAAATGCTGCATTTTCACGAACAATTACTTTAAAATTATAGTTGACTTTTTCTTCAAAAATTGATTGGTGCCTCGAGAACCTCTTGCTTTAATTACACATATTACATATAATTAAATATGTTTATCTTTTAACATGTATTTTCCTTCACTACAACGTTTGAAATAAAGGAATTAAATACTTATCAACTTTCTTCAACAAATGCAATAGTCTTATATTTTATTTTTTTGTTCACATCAATTTTAAATGCTCATTTGAATAATGAGGCAATATTATATTAATTCACGAAATTCAAGCAATTTTTATATCTCGTAATATTAATATTTAATTTATATGAAATTGTAACATTACAAGCGAATGGTTCATTTTAATAATTAAATTCTATAATCATATTAGTATCTAGAATTAATCAAAATATATTAGAAATATTTCATTTAAAATGGTAAAATTTTGCAATAATGAATTTCTTACCAGCATATTAATTAGAGTTATGAAGTTAAGCAAATTTTTATCAAAAAGCAATATAAATATACGTTTGTAAAACAGTGAATTTTTTAAATTTACAAAAATTATAATTCTATTATTTCAGTAAACGAAAGTATAATAAATCCTGAAATTTTATTCATTTATAGGACAATGATTCTATTATAATTATTCATAAATCTCCACTTAATTATTCTAATTCTAAGTCATTTACAAAATTTTAAGGATCAAAATTAAAAGGACATTCAAAGAGTACATATTAATTGCATTTAAATCGCAATTCTTTAAATGATTAACAGAATATTCTCTTAAGATAATATTGAATACTAAAAAATCAAATTCGTTTATTATTATACCTCGGTGTTTATTCTACATGTCGAATTGAAATAATATTAATATTAAAATTGCATTTTTCAATATTTAAAAATTAAATGTTAAAGTAGATAAAATATATGTCCCTAAAATAAATATTCTAGTATTATATTCGTGAAAAGTAAATGAAACTATTCTTTATTAGTGCATTTAAAATAATATTTTCACAATGCTTTTTAATTCGGCAAATGGACTTAAAATCATTGAAATTATAGTTGCAAATATTTTCTGCAATAAAGATTGTGGGAGATTATCGTAATATTGTAAAACTATTTTAATATTTTTTCTTTTCATTTTAGGGTAAATGCCTATGATCGATAGATAATGATTTTTATATTTGTACTACACATTTGTAATTTACAAAATATCTTGTTGATTTGTGACAAACCTAAGAAACAACAAAAAAAAAATGTTTTTTCCCCCCCCCCCCCCCCCACCTCCACCACGACCCCCCCGACCGCAAAATAATTATTGGACGAGACAATATAAAATCAAATAATTATACAAATTTATATAATTATAAGAATAAATCTAAAAATTGTATACAAATTTTAATTGAGTAATTGAGAATATATTTTTATTCACAATCCAATCGATATTTAAATTTATATATGCAATACCGTTAAAATCATTCTACATGAAGAATTTTAATACGGCTTTAAATTTATCAACTATTAGCTCTTTCATGTCTTATAAATAATTGAATACTTAATAGTTGCCATAAAAGACCTACAATTTTCAAATATAGTGCTTCCATGTAATAAGACTGAAGTTTTGGTAGCTTTCCGTCTTAGATACCCGAGTGACGTATATCTTAACTATTTTACTTCCGTAGAAGGCTATGTAATTTATAATCTTTCGAATTTATTAAAAAAATTTAATAACTTGGAAAAATAATGCAATATCCATTGGTAGATGATAAGAGGAAAGAGTATTCACATTATCTTCTGTACTATGAATAGCGTTTGCTTGGATTTGATTTATTCGGCTCTGTAAAGTGTATAATTAATTAAATAGAGAAAAATTATTCATGATTCCTGAAACATTTTTCCACGTATTAGAATGGAAATAAATTTTTTTTTTTTTTTTTTTCATGCAAGTAGCGAATGTCAGTTGTTAATCGTTTGCCACTCAGCAAATTTCAAACCACTTCACTTCGAATGACAATCAAATGTCCCATAAAGAAAAAAGAGAGATCGAGCGACAAAGAGTTCATAAATTTGCGTTCCATAAATTGCATTGGTAGATCAATGCTTAATCGTAATGCGTAAATTCATGGGACAAACTACCGAAACTTACTATTTGTCGTAAAAGAATTTATGTCGACGGCAAAATGAGAAACATATCGCGCCCATAACTTTTTCTTCACAGAGGAATAATATTGCGAGGCGTATCCTATGCATCGATTGTTGTCGCTGTATGTGTCAAAATTGTGTCCAAAAAAAAAAAAAAATTCCACGTTACATACTTCATCTAAATAATGTTGCATATTCAAAAAGTTAATTCTATCAATGTCTTTTAAATTCCATGAATTTATGTTATGAATGAGAGGTGAAAATTTTGCTGGACAATCAATTATTAAGTTGAATTATAAATATATCATTGTATATGTAGCTTAGTTCATTTGTAGTTTTTAGTCATAGATTTTGTTTTAGAGATTATCAAACAATTAAATAGTGGCTAATGATCGCTGTTGCAATACAACAATACAAAATAATACAAAATTCTAATATTTCATTATCAATGCTATATATATATATATAAAAAAAAATAAATATTTACTTTAAATGCGTAAAGATAAAATAAATTTAATGACATTACTTTTTTTCTAGAATACGTATCAAAGATCTATAATTCTATACCACTTTACTTTAATAAGAATAAGTTGTCAAACTTTTAAAGTTAATATGTTATGTACACTGGCTAAGGCTATAAGTGAGAAAATAAAGTTTGCTTCACAAAATTTATGCCAGACACACGTGAATCAGATAAACGTGTGCAGGTCTTTTCATCTATTCCATTAAAAGGGATGGATGGTGGATTAAACTCAGAAAGTGTTTTAAATTGTCACTTCCCCGACTCCATTAGCACCTGCGGTTACAATACTAAATATATAGCTTATTTGAAGTTGATGGGATTAAATTAATTATTTCTTACTTTTGTTGACGGATTTTTCTTATATTTTTTTTTCCTAATGTAGGTATTATTATATTTCGGTCATCTATTACAAGTCTATTTCAATTAGCCCCCTTGGATTTTATTGGTGAAACGAACCTTTCAAAATCAGCTTTATTAAACTTTTTGTATTTTTATAAATAATATTACAACAAAGTTTAAAAAATTTTATTATATTTGCAGCTATTTGAACAAATTTTGTAACTCATTGTACAGGATACTATTAGCCACATATGTTTATTTGGTTATTATTAAGAAATTTTTTACATATTGTCGATAGATGAATTTTAAAACGCATTGATAAAGACTCTGGTAATAATGTTTTAATATAACCGTAAAAATATTTTGTAAAAATAAAATTAATTTACAGTAAGTATAAACTACACATTTTATAATTATTAATAATACATTTAATATGTGCGTCATTGTATGTAATTACAGGAGATTGGATGCGTTCAAAATATAAACCTCAAGCTATTGAAACACATTAATTAACAAGCCCGATAAGGTTTTCTTATTAATATTTAACAGAATATATTTTATAAATTAATACATATTAAATATCAATTGGTTTAATTCTAGAAAATAATTATATTGGTGGATTATAGCCATACAAGTTAATAAATTTTATGTTAAAATGAAAATTCACAAAGACAAATATTACATTGTTAGTAATATATCTTAATTATAAATAATTTAATAGTTCAAAAAATTATTATATAAAAAATGTTTTTCTAGAGCCATATTTTTCATTTAAATATATATATATAAACAAAAACATCGAATGGGTATACTGAAAACATAATATTATGCTGTACACCATATTATACTTTCAATTCTAAGTATAATAATAATAAAAGCAGCCGTCACAATTACTGAAAAAGCAAATAGTATTATTATTAATATTTGCCTACGATTTTATTTACAATATGAAAATTAAATAATATACTATACAGATTCTTTAATATCGTCTCCTTTGTATTAATTAAAAAATGTAATAAGCATATAATTAAGTTGAATGGGAACTAACTAAACCTAATAATAGTAAATAATAGTAAATAAAGTTAGAATTTGAAAAATTATATTTACTTCAAACGAGAGATCAGTAAAACAAAACAATAAATATGTCAAATATGTTGAGAAAACTTAATAAAATATCGAAATAACTTCGATCGATAATACCCGCTAATCAGTCAGTGTATATATAATTTTTGTTACATAAATATAATGATTTATGCTTACTTTGTACTTTAAATTCAGTTCTACTTACTTAGATTAATGTAATGAAATATCACTATGTAAATTTGGCAAATTTAAACCTATAATTTTAGAAAAGATTTTTATACTTAACATTTAATAATTGGTCATCAAAATCTCGCTGCCTAACATAATACCGACCACAATAAATTCTACTACCTGAAGAAATTCTCTTCTTGCAAGTAAAAATGTATAAAATTATGAGAAATTATAGCTCAATGCTGTTTATTATTCAATAAATTTGCCTACAACCATTTCTTTCTATTAGAAAATTTAATATTATTAATTAAAAGTCGAGATAAATTTTCCATAAAATCTTAAAGGAACTTACTTCGTTGAAAAAAAAAAAGTAAATATATAAATTATCTACTTTAAAATATGCTTTTGTTGAAACAATTGTAATAGATACTACTAGTTTCTACGTTAGTAAGACATTATTAGTATTAATGAGTCTTTCTAACTTCAGAAAGATTCGCAATAATGTTGCACGCAGATTGTATGGTTTGAATTTTTTCATATTCAATGATATTCTTAGATTTACAGGATAGTAATCGAAATATATATATCAGTTGGCATTTAAATTAATTTACTACACAGGACGAAATACAA